ATATATATATATAGGGTTACCAGGCCGTACGTACGGAGGTCCCCGGGCAGACCTCCGTACGTACGGGCGTTCGGGGTCCCGTACCGGGTCCGAACCCGACGCGTTCGGGCCCCGCCAAAAATTATTTCGGGGCCTAAACATATTGTTTTTTTTCAAAATTTGTTTTTGTCACTTCTCTATGACGTGAGGTACACGCCCATCAATTTTCAAGTCATTTGGCTCTGCCAAATAAGAATTAAAAATCGCCAAAGCTGGCGGTATCAAAACGTGCTTGCCCACGTGTTTTTTCACTTTTTACTTTTTGTTTTCAATTCAGTTCGGGGTCTATACAATTTTATTATTTTTTGAAACTTCTTTAGTGTGTTTTTCATTATGTTAATTACACATATGTAAATTTTCAGTGCATTTAGCTATTCCAAAACAAAATAGAAAATCGCCAAAGACGGCTGTGTCGAAAACGTGCTCGCGAACTCACTAAATTTAATTATTTTTTTATTTTTTGTTATTTTTATTATTAGTATTTGTGTTTCGTATTTTATTTTTATTTCAAATTAGGCAAGTAATTTGGATGTAATGCTTAGGCAAATCTTGTTTTTTTTATTTTTCTTCACAACATATTTTTTTTTCAGTTTGTTTGATTTTTTTTTTTTTTTTTTTTTGGGGTCGTTAGGCCCGAACGGCCGAACGCATCCCCAAGGGGTCCCATACGTTCGGGCGTTCGGGTTCAGGCGTTCGGCCCGTCCTGAACGCCAATTACCTTGGTTATCTTGTATATATATATATATATATATATATATACATATATATATATATACATATGCAGTAAACCGCGTTCAGCAGTGGCCTGGGCGCCGTAACCCAAGCCCAGGCCGCTGCGGGTGCTGTGTGACCACGCACAGCAAGAAATTCAAAGGTCGAAGTCAACTGTAGGTCCAGGTACCTCGCCCAGGCCCTTGGTCGTGTGCATTGACTTGTATGTGTGCAGGTACCCAGTCAGAACGGTGGACCAAGGAGGATACRGTTTCAACTCAATCSAGGCCGTCGAGGACAATCGATCTCGGCCGTATCTGACTTGAGGACTGGGGTCCAGACCCCGCCGTCAACACTACATATTGAGCTGACTTCCTGACTTCGATATCTAGAGTCTCGTCTGGAGTCTATGGACTCGACGCTCTCGCGTCAACGCCGGCTTTATGCTGCTGGCGAGACGCTGCTGGGAGGACTTGACGACCGACGCTCGTCGCTGGTTCATGGTTTGAGCGTGCTGTGCGACCAGCATGCTGGCTGGCGCACTACTGTATGAGGGGTTGTCGACGTGGCAGATGCCACGTGTCATCTTCGTGACTGCTGCCACGTAGTATTGCTGCTGAGGTGGAAGGCGTTGGGCGCCTGTATTGCTGTTCTGCTTCACAAGTACTCGGAAGGAGGATTCAGGACTGTGGTTGGGGTCGTGATACGTACCTGGTGTCTTCAGCTTCGTCGTCACGCCACTGCTTGATAATTGGTCTGCTGGTGCCACGTGGCACAGTTGGTCTACATTATCTTGGACGTCTGAATCTCTGATTGAGACACGATTATGCTGCTAGAAGGAGGAAGTACCCGAAGAGGAAGTGGGCTGTAGGGAGGAGACTATTCCACCCTCTCAACGTCTATTCTCCCTCCTCCCTCTCTCGTCTGTGTATGTATTCTCTCTCATTTTGGGATCATTATTATTATGATTTATCAGCAGCGTTCGTCTACTTTGTCTTTGCGAGTGACGACTGATTATCACGACTGGGCACATTGCAGTTTGGTATCGGAGCATTCACTTTCGACATTGTCTTCACGGCGCACGCGTTGTTCTGACGCGCTATGATTACGACGCGCCAGTTTCTCTCGAAGGTCGCGCGCGTCAGGTAAGTAAGTGACGGGATACTCTCTCTTTCGCGACATTATTGTCGCGCGTGTTTTTCAACACGCTGTCTAGACATTGAGCCTGACGACGTGCGCGACGGGCATGGTGATGACGGGCAGATTATCTGCGAATGATGATTGATTGCTGACGTGGCACATCCACGTCCATTGAAGATTGGAGCAGGGAACTTCTACTCATGCGCTGATGATGTCTCGCCGACAATATAGAGTTGCCGCATTGCTATCTCGCCAGGCAGAGACGATTGGAGCTGATTGATTGGCTCCTTGATTACTCGCTGGCAATAGCGAGATCCGGCGCTGACGTGGCAGACTTGATTGAACTTGGGATGCGGCGAGAAGATTGATAAAGCGCAGCATTGTTGGAGTTCACCTTCACAAACGGATCTGGGTAACGGAAAGAAGTGGAGCGGCCAGCATTCCTCGCTGAAGCCCCCCCCCCCCACGATCTTGATTGGTTCGACGTGCTGACTTGGCGAAAGCTGAGTTGGCATACCGGGGGTTTGGCTGAAGCAGGCACGACGTGCCTCAAGAAACGATTGATGCATTCCGACGTTTGGAGCGGCACGAGCGACAGACTTTGGCTCGTGGTGCTTAATTGCTGTCGGGGTGATTAGAGTGCATGCTCACGTGGCATTGTGGGGAAGACTGACGTTGATTGGTTGTGTTGTCGGTACTTACCTGTTGTCAGGCTGTGCGTGCACACGTACCTGTGAATGCTAACGATCTTGGCCTACTCGATTACCTGGAAGAGGAGTCATCACACGAATAGGAGAGAAAACAAAATTAGAACAACTTATAAAAAAGACATCAATCAAGAGAATAAATAATTATTTTTATTTATTTATTTTCTTGTGAATCCTCTGCTGTACTGATGATTGAGTGGCTATCCAGCCATCAGATAACATTGTCTGTTTTATTTTTTTGAGAAAGGATTGGCCTGTTAAGTTTCCTGTTGACGTTAATCATGGCACCGATTGTTCAACACATGCGTCAGTCCCTGCTGACCAGGTGGGTGCCTCATCTGTTCGGTCTTGGGCATGTGCCTTATGCGGTGAGAGCAGGTAGCTCTTCGATGGAACCGCGTACACGTGCCCTGATCGAGGCACGAAGAGATGAATTGGGAGAACTTCTCTCCCAACTGCTGGTGGACATGGAATTCGCTGTTCCGGCCGCAAGAGAACACATGCGTGGTAGGTTTGACCTTAAAGTGATCTCTGATCACTTGGCCAAAGCTACCACGAGTGTAGAGATGGTGGCGGCAGCAACAAAGATCCATAAAGTCATTGCCCAGTGTCGTGAGATACAAGACCAGTTCACCATCCAGTAGTTAAAAGAGATTGCCCAACGGAAAGATACCGTGCCAGAAGTAAAGATAGAAAGTATTGAAGAGAACATACAACAGTTGAAAGAGACACTCGCAAAAGAAGAAAGGAAGCGGGAAGAGCTGTTGCAAAGAAAAGAACAGGAAACTAGGTTGCAGCAGAGAATGGGTAGAGTTCAGCAGCACGTTTCCTTAGATGAAAAAAATGTTGCTCAGACGCTCGGACAAATATTGACGTATTTGGCTTTTCTGGAAGAAAAGTACCAACAGCAAACTAGAATGGATGAATTCGCTGTTGGCCTTCATGTCATTACTAGCATTGTCAAGGGGAAAGCCCCTATGCTTGAAAATGATGAAGATAAGGAAAAAAAAGCGGACGTCAAGCCCGAGAAGTTGCTTATTGGTGGAATAAAAAACAGCGACACAATGAAGAAGGAAACGGTAAAAGAAACCGAGAAGAAACCGGAAAAGAAACCGGAAAAGAAACCCAACGGGAATGGTGATGGATACGGGAATAGAAACGGGAATGGTGGTCCGAACGGTCCCCCTCCCCCTCCTAAGGACAATGCCAAACACGCAAATCCGACTAAGGCAAAGAAAAAAGAAAAGGTGAAGATGAAATTACCTTGCACTTTTTCTAATAAGAAAGAAGAAAGCCTTCCACTCTGGATCGCAGAGATCCAGACCTATGTTGGGACTGCACCGGTAGAAGAAGAGTCGCAAGTTGCGTTCACCACTTCTTGTATGGGTGGTGAAGTGAAGCAGTGGGTTCTGGCGGAGGCGAATGCCGCGGGGTTTGACGATATAGGTGAGTGGGCGAAGACGATGACCTTGAAGCAGTTCCTTGCAAAGGTCAAGGACCGCTTCTTGGACAAGACCACGACCGATAAGGCCTTCGACCAACTCACCTTGATAGGACAGAAGTCCTGGTCTTCCGTTGAGTCATTGTCTCGTGAGGTGGACCGCCTGTTGCAGGTTCCTGGTCTTAACCTGCAGGACTCTCAGGTCCTTTATATCTACTCCCGCGCGTTGCCCGAACCGATATGAGGGCACTTGGTCGCCGAGGCCAAGTCAGGTAAGTATACCTACTACCAGTTCCGCGACCTTGCATTGCAGCGGGAACAAATGACTTCGCAAGTCAAAGGTTCCTATGCTGCTGCCGTAAAGAATGGAGGAGGAGGCGGTCGAGGAGGCTACGGCAAGCGGGTCATATGGCGTCAAAAGCGCCAAGACCACACCCTCGTCGTATTCGACGACGATACAATGGAAAAATGACCATTGGAGTCCGAGGGTGGTGGTGAGAGCAACAGTGACTCCGGAAAGGGGGAGATCACTGCTGCGACGGTCAACAAGGGAGGACCGTCACGAACACTCGACCGAAGGGAAGACCACGCTCCTTCCCATACCATCCTGGGATTGCGGCCGGCAGACCGTGGCTGAAGATGGGACTAACCCGGGAGGTGTGGCAAGATATGATGGATAATGCGCAGTGCCTCAAATGTGGCACTGCGGGGCATGTCATTGCCTTTTGTCCGTTGATTAGGAATTCAAAAGGGAGCAGCCAGTAGGAATAACATCTATTCCTACAGAGTCGGAGAGTGCGATCACATGCAAGGCGCCTACGATCCCTTTCCACACTCCGACTCCCGTGGCAGAGGATGGAAACCCTTCCGCCCGTCGTTCAGATATTCCCACTCCTGTCTTATGTCTGTCTCTGGACGACTCCCTTGACGAGCTGGGTAGCGAGCTAGTCGCGTTACGCAGTTCGTGGGCAAAGAAAGCCAAGTCTAAAGGGGAACTATTGATTGCCGATTTGATTGTCAATCGCACACACGTTGGTGCGATGCTGGACCCTAGGTCCACACGATCTTACATGTCTGAACGTGCAATCCGCAAGTTGCACCTCGGCATGAAGATCCAAACGTTAGCTAGACCGATCACGTCTATGCTGGCTGACAAAAGCACGATGACGGTAATGCAATACGTCGATCGTGTTCGATGTCAGTTCAGTACAAAGGATGGGAAGAAGATTTGGCATGAGCTTCCCTTTCTGATTGAGAAGAACATGCCGTTTGACATCATCTTGGGAATGGATTGGCACGAGGAAGCTGATCCCAAGATTGATTTCAAACTGAAAGAAGTAAAGATCAAAGATGAATCGTCTACATTGCAACCGATTAAGTTGTATCATCGGTCAGGGTCTGACTCTGTCTTGTCTTTTTGTTGCATGAACTACTCTGCATTTCGATCGATGGTTGCAAAGAAGAAGCTAGAGGATGAGGTAGTAATGTTGTTAGTTAAGAAAGTAGGAGAGTCTTCAACTACCCATCCTCCTGGCATAGATGCACTCCTAACGGAGTTTGCCGATATTGTGTCTGAGCCTACCGGGGTCACTTCGCAAGCTATCAAGCACACGATCGAGATCGTGCCCGGTAGCAAGGTTCCCAAGGGCCCTATCTATCGCATGTCTCCAAGGGAACTTGAGGAACTAAAGAAGCAATTGTCTGAGTTGACGGAGAAGGGATGGATTCACCCTAGCTCCTCTCCTTATGGCGCACCTGTCTTGTTTGTGCCCAAAAAGGAAGGTGAGCTGCGCCTTTGCATCGATTACCGAGGGTTGAATGCCGTCACCGTCAAAAACGCCGAACCTTTGCCCAGGATCGACGATCTCTTGGATCAGTTGCAGGGTTGTAAGGTCTTTAGTAAGATCGACCTTAAGTTTGGGTACCACCAGATCGAGGTGGATCCGGTCGATCAGCATAAGACCGCGTTTCGTACGAGGTATGGTCATTACGAGTTCATCATGATGCCATTTGGTCTAACGAACGCACCTGCGACCTTCCAAAGGTCCATGAACGAGTTGTTCAGGCAATGGCTCGACGACTTCGTCATCGTCTATCTGGATTATATTCTAGTATATAGTAAAACACTAGACGATCACCAGAAACATCTACGTCTAGTACTCGGGAAGTTACGCGAGGGTAACTTCAAACTCAACCCAAAGAAATCCGAGTTCGCTAAGTCTGAGGTCCTATACTTGGGACATATAGTGAACGAGGAGGGATTGAGGCCTGAGGAAAAGAAGATCTCGGCAATCARAGATTGRCCGCAGCCAAAGACTCTGACAGACCTTCGATCTTTTCTTGGTTTGGCGAGTTACTATAGGAAGTTCGTTAGGAACTTTTCTGTTATCGCTACACCAATGAGAAGGTTGCTTAAGAAAGGTACTGTCTGGCTATGGGATAAGGATTGTGATTTCTCTTTCCGAAAGCTGAAATATGCTCTAACTCACTATCCTGTCCTCAAGATTGCCGACCCGTCTCTTCCTTTCATTGTTACGACTGACGCAAGTCAGTATGGTGTTGGCGCTGTCTTACAGCAARACGACGGCAAGGGCTATCGCCCTATTGAGTTTATGTCTWAAYRACTGCCGTGCGACAAAGTCGCCWACTCCACCTACGAAAGGGAGTTATATGCATTAGTCTGTGYCCTAGAAACRTGRAAACACTWTCTCCTTGRCARACACTTCACTRTRTACTCGGACCACTCGACTCTAAAGTGGATCAAGACRCAACCTCGATTGTCTRACAAGTTGGTGCGYTGGTCTGCTTTTATTGATAMCTTTGATTTCGAACTCAAAACAATTAAAGGTAAGTCTAATGTTGTAGCAGACGCACTMTCTAGGAGGAGTGAYTTCTTTGGGGCTATAGTCTCTTACCTGGATGTTGGGAATGATGTGAAAGATCAGATTCGTGCTGGATATGCCACTGACCCTGTCTGGAAACCAATCATGAACATCCTAGCCAAGGACCCATCCCAACTTCCTCACTATCGATTGTCTGATGGCTTACTCTTCTTGTTGGACCAGACGGAACAGAGATTGTGCATTCCTCACAAGGAAGAACTTAAAAGTCTATTGATTGGGGAATGTCATGACATAGAGGGACACTTTGGTTTCAAGAAGACGTATGCTGAGGTGCGTGAGCACTATGAATGGAAGGGTTTGAAAGAGGATGTACTAACGTATGTTCGTACGTGCCAAGTATGTCAGAGAAACAAACCGTCTCATGAGAACCCTTTGGGTTTACTCCGACCACTACCTATTCCAAGTGAGCCAGGTGAGTCTGTGTCCATAGACTTCATGAAACTCACCAAGTCCCGAAATGACAATAGTCAAGTTATGGTTGTGGTTGACCGTTTCTCTAAATATGCCATGTTCATACCCTTGCCTGCAGAGGCCAAGACTGAGCTTGTGATTGCTAAATTTCAGATGCGATGGGTAACTGAGTATGGGTTTCCCATGTCTATCGTATCTGACCGCGATGTCAGGTTCACAAGCATGCCTTGGCAGAAGCTGATGGAGGCCTACGGTACACGACTCACCATGTTGTCAGGTAGACACCCTGAAACGAATGGCCAGTCTGAGCAAATGAACTGTATGGTCCAACAACTTCTGAGAATGTATGTCCGTCCTGACCAAATAGATTGGGATGAGAACTTACCCAAGATTGCCGGTGCATATAACAATAGTGTGCATACCGCGACATGACGCACACCTAACGCACTGCACAAGGGCTGGAAGCCTAAGCGTCCCATTGATGTTTTAACCAGGGATGAGTTTCTTAGACTTCCACCAGGGACAAAGGAATATGCCATTATGTTTCAAGAAGACATCAAAAAGGTGAAGGAGAATCTGAGGAAAACCCAAGAGCGCATGATTGAACAAGCTAACAAACACCGACGCCCGTCTACTTTTCAAGTCGGTGACTTGGTCTGGGTTAAGTCCAAAGAGTTCACTCTAGAAGAAGACGTTTCTCAGAAACTGATGCCTGTCCATCTAGGACCCTGGGAAGTTCTCAAGGTGATAGGGGATGCCGATGGACCATCATACCGGATTGACATTCCCCCTCATCTTCGGACATACCCCGTCTTTCACGCGTTTAAACTGCTTCCATATGTAGAAGGAACAAAATTTTCTCACCGACCCTCTGCTACACCTCCGTCTATGAATGGCAGCTATGTGGTTGAGAAAATTACTGACCATGGATTCTTTTCTACTGATGGAAGAGGCAGACCTCAGAAGCAGTATAAAGTGAGATTCCAGTTCCAAGATGCCTCTGAAGACCGTTGGTTTAACAGACGGGAACTGATGGATACTGCTCCTGATATTGTTGCTAGCTATGAACGCGGGCTGAAGTCTTAAGTATTTCTGCGGTGGAACTCGAATTCGGGCCGGCAGGAATGCACTAAACCACGTTCAGCAGCGGCCTGGGCGCCGTAACCCAAGCCCAGGTCCAGCGAGCAGTGCGACTACGCGCTGCTCGACCTCAGGCCGCTGCGGGTGCTGTGTGACCACGCACAACAAGAAATTCAAAGGTCGAAGTCAACTGTAGGTCCAGGTACCTCGCCCAGGCCCTTGGTCGTGTGCATTGACTTGTATGTGTGCAGGTACCCAGTNCCTCGCCCAGGCCCTTGGTCGTGTGCATTGACTTGTATGTGTGCAGGTACCCAGTCAGAACGGTGGACCAAGGAGGATACAGTTTCAACTCAATCCAGGCCGTCGAGTACAATCGATCTCGGCCGTATCTGACTTGAGGACTAGGGTCCAGACCCCGCCGTCAACACTACATATTGAGCTGACTTTCTGGCTTCGATATCTAGACTCTCGTCTGGAGTCTATGGACTCGACGCTCTCGCGTCAACGCCGGCTTTATGCTGTCTTGCTGGCGAGACGCTGCTGGGAGGACTTGACGACCGGCGCTCGTCGCTGGTTCGTGGTTTGAGCGTGCTGTGCGACCAGCATGCTGGCTGGCGTACTACTATCTGAGGGGTTGTCGACGTGGCAGATGCCACGTGTCATCTTCGTGACTGCTGCCACGTAGTATTGCTGCTCAGGTGGAAGGCGCTGGGCGCCTGTATTGCTGTTCTGCTTGACAAGTACTCGGAAGGAGGATTCAGGACTGTGGTTGGGGTCGTGATACGTACCTGGTGTCTTCAGCTTCGTCGTCACGCCGCTGCTTGATGACTGGTCTGCTGGTGCCACGTGGCACTGTTGGTCTACATTGTCTTGGACGTCTGGATCTCTGATTGAGACACGATTATGCTGCTAGAAGGAGGAAGTGCCCGAAGAGGAAGTGGGCTGTAGGGAGGAGACTATTCCACCCTCTCAACGTTTATTCTCCCTCCTCCCTCTCTCGTCTGTGTATGTATTCTCTCTCATTTTGGGATCATTATTATTATGATTTATCAGCAGCTTTCGTCTACTTTGTCTTTGCGAGTGACGACTGATTATCACGACTATATATATATATATATATGGGCATCTCTGTTTGTGACGATATATATATATACAAGGTAACCGGCGTTCAGGACATGCCGAACGCGGACCAAAAAAAAAAAAAAAACGTCATCAAAAAAATCTGAAAAAAAGATATGTTGTGGAGAAAAATACATTAAACAAGATTTGCCCGAGCATTACGTCCGAAGTCCTTACCAAATTTGAAATAAAAATAAAATACACAGAACAAATACTAATAATAAAAATAAATAAAAATAAAAAGAGAATTAAATTTAGTGAGTGCGCGAGTATGTTTTCCACACCGCCATCTTTGGCGATTTTTTTTTTTTTTTTGGCATAGCCAAATGCCCTGAAAGCTTACAGATTTGTACTTCACATAATACAAAACCCACTAGAAAAGTTTCAGAAAATAATAAAATTGTGTAGACCCCGAACGAAAGTGAAAACAAAAAGTCAAAAGTGAAAACAAACGTGGACGAGCACGTTTTGACACCGTCATCTTTGGTGATTTTTAATTCTTATTTGGGTAAGCCAAATGGCTTGAAAATTTATAGGCATGTACCTCACGTCATAGAAAACTCATAAAAAACAATTCAGAAAAAAATAAAAAAAATAGGCCCCGAAATAATTTTTGGCGGGGGCCGAACGCCGTCGCCGCAGTCGAGGGCCATGAGCCTGCGCCCCTTCGGCAGGGCTGCCCGAGTGCCGGTGTGTTCGAGATGCTGGCCGAATATTTTTAATTTTTATTTTTTTTTATCCTACTCGCCGTGGAAACAACAGGGAATAAGGAATTCAACGTACATGCGAGCCGGTGGGTGTTAGGCCCACGAGGCGGAAGAGAACCTGAGCGGGGGGGGCACTTTGTGGGTGCACCGACCACCACTCACGATCTGATGTGAGAGGCTTATGAGTGAGCATGTCCGCTGGGCCCTGCGAGATGGTGAATGTTGCCTAAGTAGGGCGGGTCCGGGGTACTGAAGCGGGGGCCCGCAACAGAAACTGAAATGCAGGTTGTGCGTTGGACTTCGGTATAGGGCCGGACGGCTAGTTGAACTAGTGAGAGCCGGTTCCCTCCGAAATTTCCCTCAGACCGGCTGGTGCTATCGGGCAGACCGTTGTCAGGTTCGCTTTGAAATTTCCCTCAGGATAGCTGGGCTGTTGGACAACCTGTCGGTCGTGACGGGGTCCGATGCTGTAAGAAGCAACATTAGTCGAGGAAGGAGGTTGGACGACTTCACTTCCACTCGACGTTGAGCAGAGAGCGCAGTAGTGGGATTGAAGTTGACATGAGCCAGAGAGGCGCTGAGTAGAGGGGGCAACGACGAACCGAGCGGGCGGACGCAGCAGAGAAGAAGGAGTAGGCAACAGAGGCAACGGAGAAGGGAGGGTGAACCTAGACGGGAATGTGCGCCAGGTGCATGCAGTAATGGTGAAGGTGAAGAAGCGGGCGCAGCAAGGAGGAGGTGGCTCTCGCGATGCTTCGTGGTTTTAGGTGAGAAGGAAGTGGTTTCGGGGGTTTTAAGATAGGGCGAAGTCAACGATGGCATTAGTTTTACAAGAGAGATAGTAGATAGGGAGATAAAAGAGAAATAGAGTGCGTGGAGAGATGGTGGGGATTAAAGGAATGGGCATCATGGCAACGGGAAAGAAGAGGTTTCACGCCCGTTCCTTGATGGAAACGGGTGAATGAAGGCTCGTTTCCAACATTTTGGGATAGGGCGACGTGAATGGCAGTTAGTTTTGATGTAGGATTAGCAAAATGAGAGTTAGATAAGATTTGCACTGCGTGGTGATGTCGGAGGAGGAAGAAAAAAAACGAACGGGGGAAAAAATTGGCCAACTTGACCGTTTTTCCGCCGTTTTTGGCAAGCAAGGATGCTAAATGGGGGTTTGGGATCATCCTCAACTGATTGACCATGTCAGATTTGCAATCCGGGCGGTCGGTTGTTCGGATCGAGTGACAGATGCTGCGTGATTATGCTATGGTCATTCATCTACCCCGATTCTAGAGGAAGGTCAATTCGTAGTCTGTGCATCTCGTGTAGTAGTGGAGCGAGGATCACAAGTGCGTATCTCGAGTTATCATGGTGATCTCCCTCGCAAATTGGCCGAAGGTCTCCGATGAGGTTGCTGTCGTTGTAACAATCGATTCACAGATCCTCGTGTTCCTCGTCGCTGGGCTTGTCGTATTTGAAGTGTTGTTCGATGTTCCAGCTGCAGCTCACTGTGTCTATGGGTTGAAGTTGCAGGGCTCCCCGTTGCACTTGTGACCACCGTGTTGCAGTTGCTGTAATCACAATCTTCCTCCTCGCTCTGCCAAAAGAAGGTTGCCCCAGACCATGTTCATCTCTGCATTCATAACTCGCGTGTGTCTGAAGCCACCTGAACCTTACCCGTCCAATTGATCAGGTACGCTGATAAAAGGAGAAGGAAGTGGACGAAAGCAGGAAACAGGAAGAGAGGGAGGAGCGCATACCTCGTCAGTAGGATTGCAGATGCGAGTAACCCTTTCTACTTCTTTGTGCATGCGTGGCCAGAAAGCAATTTATATTTCCCTGTCTGACTGAAGATTCAGTCGGATCTCGCACATCCAGATCGAGGGAAGCGAAGGAGAGTTTAAGCTAACAGCGGATAAGGTTGCATTCTCCCAGATACTGGAGAGAAGGTTAACAACAATCGTATTTTTCATCACCACTTCAGGACACCCTTCACCACTTCAGGATGCAGTCTGCCTAAACAGGTGGTTTTCAAGGTCTTCGGATTGTTCACCACTTTAGGACCATTCAGGTCTGAAAATCCTGAATGGTCCTGAAGTGGTGAAAGGTCCGAAGACCCTGAAAACCACCTGTTTAGGCAGGCTGCATCCTCAAGTGGTGAAGGGTGGTTTTCATGGTCTTCGGACCTTTCACCACTTCAGGACCATTCAGGATTCTTAGATTGCCAAAAACTCTCACTTAACCATTTCATGACACCCTTCACCACTTTAGGATGCAGCCTGCCTAAACAGGTGGTTTTCAGGGTCTTCGGACCTTTCACCACTTCAAGACCATTCTGGATTTTAAGACTGCCAAAAAAGCTCACTTCAGAATTTTCATTCCTGAATTTTCAGCTACCCGATAACCGCTTGTGAGATACTGTCGGAAGACTTGTTTGACTTTGCTCGTCCTCAAAGAATGATTTACCAAGGAAGGTGCCTGCTCTAATATACTATGGCCAAGCTCATGGAGTAGCGCAAAGAGGGAGTCGACTTGTGGAACGGCGGGTTGTCGTCTCACCGATTGGAGCGGCGACGAGGGGAGATGCTTGACTGTGAACTTGAAGATTGATCAGGCATGCCTTGCATCCTGTGAAACGAAGGACTGCAGGAAGCCTGTGAAACAAAGGACTGCAGAAAGACTGTGAAACCAGGATGCCTCCTCGGTTCAACTTAGTTTTAAGAACCATAGTGGAT